TAAGAGGTTGACTTTGGTGTGTGTGTGATTGTGTATGTGTGGGTTGCGCAAGACGGGAGGGAGTGAGAAATATATAATTTAATAGAGTTTAACAGAGAAAAAGTAAAAGAAAATATTTCTATATAACTGGATTAAAAGGTAACAGCTTGTAACAGCATTCGTACACTTACAAAAAGTCAAAGCACATAGATCAAGTTTATTTAAGTTAAAAATTTAAATAACAGACAATTGCTTTTGTTAGCATTTGAATCCAACACTATGTGGGTTTGTCCAACACGGTTTGTCAGGTCTATCTAACTGAATACGTGCATGTTTATAACAATTAATAGACATGCAAATAATGCAAATGGACACATCTATTTCAATTACAAAACAATACATGGTATATTTGGATTGTTTAATATATCAATCAGTGAAGAATGGAGGACAGCTTTTTATTGTCTATCTGTGTTACTCATAATAACCATTGCCTGCTCTGTTTCATGTATCATAACAGTTGCAATTTCATGAGATTGAGTTTAAATTAGGTGTTGTGGCTCTGATTTTCCCAGAGCAAAGAAGTCCCACAAGCAGCAACAGCAGAGCCACCATTACGATGGTGAACACAGTCCGTAAGACGAGGTAAATATGACAGCCAGGCTGTGACGAGGGGTCTGTCTTGGTCTCTGTGTGATTGATTGAGCAGATAAAAACAATTCATTAATTATTTCAGTGTTCACCTTGGTTATTTACTCAATATCTACATGTAACACTGGCAAATTCAAGGGCTGAAAAACTGGCAGAAATGCAGTTCTTCTATTCTCCATTTAAGTTGTGAATTTACCCCCATAGACTACCAAACTGTTAAAAAGCCCAGCAAATGAACAATTAAAGAAATATGGTATAAAATTATATGTAAATTATATCTGCACATTTTTCCTCCATATGTAGTCCAAAAGTTCTTATCCCGTTTGTTGTTTGTTGTTTATTATCCATGACATAATTATTATTTTTTTCACAGTGGTTTATGATGTCTGATCTGAAGAGAAAATTGTGTAAATGATAAAAACAATTACTGAATTATTTTATAATAAAAGAGTCTGTTTAATCACACAAAGCAGGAGACTATAGTGAGCAGTTAGCGATCATCAGCTGATTCATGTGTCAGTCACAAACCCACTTCTTTGTTTTCTCTTCTGTCAGACAAAATCACCATAAATTCTAGTATAATGACAAGTGATACAGTTGTACTACTACCGGCATTAAAAAGGAGAAAAACACGACCTCTTCACTGTCTCACCTGTGACACTGAGCCAGCTCTCTGGTGATTCTCCAGCTCCTACGATGCTGCATTTATAAAGTCCTTCATCAGATTTTGAAACTTTGTGGATGGTCATGCTTCCTGTTGAGTTGTTCCTGACGTGGACTCCATATTTATAGAAATCCGCCATGAAGTCTGAGGGAGTTAACTTATTTCTGCAGCTCAGGGTCACATCTTCTCCCTCCATCACAGGAACAGCAGGACTCTCCAGGATCACAGAACCAGCTGAATAACAGGAGTTTTATATTTTTTTAAAATAAAATTTGATTAAAATGAATCACAAAATATTGTCTCACTGCAAACATACCAGTGATAGAGATGTTGATACTGTTGCTTCTGATCCCTTCTTCATTCTCATACCAGTACTCCCCACTGTCATCTAGATAAACATTTGTGATGGTGCAGGATGATCCTTTGGGACATGTTTTTATTTTCCCTTTGACTTTATGCACAAATTCACAATAAACAACTCCCTCACAGTAAAAGGTCACTGTCTCATATTCAAAGAACTGTAATCTGTTTGGAAGGATATGAAGAGAAACTGCATCTAGATGAAGAAAAGGAGAGATTTACTTTAGTTTTATTTTTGAATATCACAAATCACAAATTTAA